TCATAGTTTCATAGTATGTGAAGGGATTGGAATGGAGCTTAGAGCTCATCCAGCCCCAGCTCCCTGCCCTGGGCAGGGACACCTCCCACTACAACAGGTTTCTCTTCAAGGCTTTAGCCAACCTGGCTGTGAACACTGCCAGGGTTGGGGCAGCCACAGCCTCCCTGGGCAACCTGGGCCAGTGTCTCACCACCCTCACAGCAAAAACTTCTGCCTGATATCTCATCTAAATTTCCCTCTTTCAATTTCTCCCCATTCCTCCTTGTCCTGTCACTACATTCTGGTCCATTTAGGTGAATTTGACAATTTAATTTGCATTGTCATGTGCTCTTCCAGCTGTCCTGCACAGGAGCTCCTGGTGTACATATGGAATTACACTGCTGGAAAGAAGGGATATAAGCACAGCACCCCCATCCCCAGCCACCCCTGTACCTGGAGCAGGCCTGGCTGACAAGGTCTTGCCGACGAGACTCGTAGGTCATTTGGATGAGTTTGTTCTTGTAGGTCTCAGCCAGCATCTGCTGCATGGCAGCTGGGGAAGGAAGGGCTGTCAGTGTGTCTGGGGTGGATGCCACTCATCTACCACTGCTGCTATAGCCACTGACAACTAACAGGGACTTCTCTTTCATTTCAGCCTGCTCTTGCTGTTTCCATTTTGTTCATTTCAGAGCCACTTGGTCATTTCACACCCATTCAGGGCAAGAACTGTGGCTGTTTACTGGGAGATTAGCTGAGGAAAGTCCACTGTGCCTGTGCTTGCACCTGTTCAGCATTCAAGAAGAAACCAGGCACTGCTTATCTAAGATTATAGAGTATCCTGAGCAGGGAGGGACCCCCAAGGATCATCAGTCCAACCCCTGCCCTGCACAGGACACCCCAACAGTCCACCCTGTGCCTGAGAGCATTGGCCAAACACTCCTGGAGCTCTGTCAGCCTTGGGGCTGTGACCACTGCCCTGGGGAGCTGTTCAATGCCCAAACACCTTTGGGGGAAGAACCTTGTCCTGATATCCAACCTCACCCTCTCCTGACACAGCTCCAGCTGTTCCCTGGGTGCTGTCACTGGTCACCAGAGTTGGGCTGTAGCTCTACCTGTGCCACTGCCAGTCACCCATCCTCAGCTGACAACACACCTCCCATTTCCCTTGCACCCCAGCACATGTCCATGGTCATCATGAGCAGAAAAGACTTCCCAGCACCATTCTTGTCTACCCTCCACAAACCTGATGGATTAACACCTGTTTGACACCACTGAGCCAGTCTGACCCACTCCTTGGTGACAGGCTGCAGCTACAGGGAGCATGGCTTGTGCCTCAAGAACCAGCAGTGAGCTGCAGCTGGAAGCAGTGCATGTGGTAGATGTGCCATGCTGCTCCCTGCAGCTCTGCCCCACCCAGGAACATGCCACAATGTGTGTGTGACCAAGCACCTCCCACCTGGTTGTCACCTCACCAGAGCATCTCCAGAGGAACCACATCTTTCATACAATCATGGAATTACAGAATTGGTAAGGTTGGAAAAGACCTTCAAGATCA